TGCGTCCACCGCTCAACTTGCACGAAATTTTCAATTTATTTTGATTTTATTTTTTACTTTCGAAAAGCATTTTCGAATCGTGCAGATCGGCTATTTGGACGAGTGAGTGTTCTGAAAAACGAATGGACCACATATTTCCGATCGGCTGTTGACTCGCAGTGCTTCTTACAGTTATAACGAAGTGTGTATTGTTGTTCATGCGCGTTATTTATTTTGTATTTTCGAAAAAGCGGCACAAAAGTTGAATATAGCATAGAATAGTTTTTTACGAATAAAATGAGCTGTAGAAAAAAGTATTGGAAAACTTTCGTAAACAATAAGCATGTGGCGAAGGCGCTGCAATGCTTTGTGGATGGACAGTAGTCAGTTTAACGCAGGGGTGTATTTGGGGTACAGTGGGGTGGTGGCAAAAAATAACTAATGAAATTGAGAAATATATATATAAATTTGAAAGCTCCTCAGTAAAAAAATGTCCTGAAATCCCTGAATATCCTTTCCTCTCTTTCATAAAAAAACATGTGAATACCCAAATATGACGAAAAACCTGAAATAAGACATCCTTTGAAACAAGTGAAACTGAGAGGCGCGATACCAAGATGACAGGTGACAGATGACAGATTTCAAAAATTGTGGCATGCTACGTAAATGGAGAAATTAAAAGAAAAGTCAAGATGTTAAAAATTACAAGTCTTTCCGGCTTTTAGCCTCGTTGAAGAATTAGGAGAAAAGTTGTCATCGATTGTTGGGTTTTCCTTGCAACATTTCATTTTAAATAGAAAATTTTTTTAATCAAGGTTCTTGAACTCGTATAAAAAAATCGAGTTTGGGTCTAGTCAAATCATGAATTTAGTTCAGCGCCCTAATATTTTTTCTTTTAGGCCACTACTTTTACCAGTTTTTTTTTATGAAGTTTGTAACACAAAAAAGGAAATATCGGAGACTCTATATAAATGGTCAGTATGATGAGCTGAGTCGATGTATGCATGTCTATATATCAGTTTTGTCTGAACAAGTCTCACAGTTTTTGAGATATCGATTTAAAATTTTGTAGACATTCTTTCAACCCAAGAAGCTGCTAATTTTTTGAATCTTTTAAATCGCAGTACCATAGCACATACTAGATGCCATACAAACTGATCGATGAAACTCAAGTAATTGTATGAAAAACTTTTTTATTTGGCAAGCTATCTTAACGAAACTTGTTGAGGACTATTTTCCAAGGCAACGGTACAATTTCTGAAAAATTTATTGAGCGCAGACTACTTCAGCTAACTGACAAATCAAAATCAATATAAAAATAATTGTATACCTTTTTGTATAATATGAAATGCACTTCTGATGGATTTTATAGTTTTTACTTGTTTTTTAAGTATTCCCTTCCAAGAAATGTCGAGTTTCATTCTTCTTCCTTGGTCACAAAAGCACAGTGCAAATTCATTAAGCATTAAGCTAAAGCTTTTTCTTGTACATATGTATGTATAAATATTTTCGAATATTCCAAAATCTTAATTATGTACCATATTGATGTATGTAATAAGATCGAGTGTGCAAGAAAGCTTTTAAAATTTTTTGAATCTTTAACTGTATGTACTTATAGTATTTGAAAAGAAATTCAAAATAAACTCAAAATTCTTTACTGAAAATTTTCAAAGCTTCGGATCTACTCAAATTGTTTGTTTGTAATTATGTGATATAACCAGTACATACTTAATACACACTATATATATATAAATATTATTTACTTTCCCACATATCCCCACTGGGGATCTATGCTCAGCTCATTTCGATTTATGAGTGTATTGAAAGCGTTGAATTTCACTCAAATAACGAGTATTTGCCGAGCAAAAATCATCAGGTGTGAACATCGCACGACGTTTTCAAAATTTCAAATGGATTATGCGCAGAATCTCCTAATAATATCCTATGCTTGGGAGAGGTGAAAACTTTCAGAGCAGCGGTTGGCGCAAACACTCAGCTGCCTCTTTAAGGTAACGTCAACTGCGAGCGAAGCAGCAGCAGCAGCAGCTGTTGCCGTTGCAAAGGCGAGTGCAAACGCCGGAACATTAGGTGAGGTTAGGCAATTGCTTTCCTAACCCAGAGACACACTTTGTGCCGACATAAATAGTCCACACGCACTCATTAAATGTTTCTAGTTTTCATTCACCCAACGTGTCACCACACACCCCGCTTACCTTCAGCTCAGCAGCCGCCTATCGATCATATTTAGCGAGGCGTTCGGAAAATTTCAACACAACATCCGTCCTCACTTTCATTAGGGGGCTGTCGCATTGTCGCCACGGCGCGGTGTGTCATGTCACGACTGATAGATATGTAAATTTACTTAAAGATTCACTCACATTAGCGTCCTTGTGTCAGTGCGTCTGTATTTATACTAGGTTGTTGAGAATTTGTGTGCTTCGAGTGTCTCTATTTGACATTTTCTTAGTTCAAATAGAAAATTCCAACAAGTTGTTCATTGCGTTGTGTTGTCTAAAAATGGTTGCTAATGGCACAAATATCAAGTTAACAAGCTCTCGCATAAAAATAGTTTCCATTTCAAAATACAAACATCTGGATAATGGACGACTTAATAACGTGTGAATCATGTTCGCAGTCATTAAAACCAATGTTCACTATAAATATGAAAAAAGGTGAACAATAATCGTCCGCGTTTTTCTTAGAATTCGAGCAACCATTAGCGAACCACTTAGCACAGCGTGGATATAGAATGTATGGATAAGTATGCCTCTACTTATAGATTAGTGACTTGCTTCAGAGAGAATTTTATGCACCGCAAATATTGGGGTTGTATTCATTCTTCTTGTCTGGTGATCTTAAAGCCAAGTTGCCAAAGTGTTTACATTCGAGGTTGTTTATTGGATCGTACGCTCTGTTCTACTATTTCTTTATGACTGAGCCATATAATAAGTAAAGTTTATGCAGATGAAAAATAGACCAAAGTTTAATGAGTTCATTTGGAAATAGAACACGTTTTAATTTGTTGATATTAGTAAAGGACAGAAGGAGGTTAAAAAGCCTAGATTCGCGTTTAGGGAGCACTTCTCAAGAAAAATAAAAATCAGTAGCCATCTATTTTGCTTTTGAGAATATAGAATCGCAGAGGCGTACAATTTCAAGAGTATTGAGGTCTATACCTCTTCTAACAGAAGTTTCTAAGAAATTTAAGCAAATCAAGCAAATTGATTAATATTTAATATTTTTATATTCCATGTATTTATTAAATGCTCAGATCATCTAAAACATTATTTCATTAGCTAACCCCCGACAAGTTTTGCGGATCCGTCACCAAAGCGGATAATCTTATCGGGCTTATAATGATGTATGGTAGGAGTGTATAAACATTTTTTGGTAGTCGAAGAATTCTTTTCGAATTTTGTCAATAGATGTCGTTGCAGTCGTATATCTCCAGTGCTACCAATTCCAAGTTACAGCTGTTCAAAAATGAGCGAAAATATTGAAGGAATTCGCTATATTTAAAGTGTCACACAAACCCATATTGAAAGTTGCGAAGTTTACGGAGACAATGCTGTAACAGTTCGCGTAACACAACAAGGGTTCGTTGCTTTAGTTGTGGAAATTTCGATGTGAAAGTGATGGAGAAGAATGGGTCGGATCGTCACACAAGCAGCTTAACATTCATCATCAAACGATTTTGAACCATTTAAAAAAGGCTGGCAACAAAAAGAAGTTCAATGTTTGATAACCACATGATTTGTCTGTGAAAAATTTAATTGGCCTAATTAACATCTTCGATTCGATTGGTGAAGCTCAACAAATGGTCGCAAAGCAAGAATTGTTATACTGAGTGTTTGGTGGGATTGGAAAGAAATATATACTCCATGTGAGCTGCTCCAGCCTGGTCGAACGATTGATTCTACATTTTACTGTCAACAACTGATGAGATTGAAGCAAGCAATCAGAAAAAATCAATAGAAACGGCTTCGTCTTCCAACAGCACTTTGATGATTTGTCAAAAACTGGGAGAGTTTGGCTGGGATGTTTTGATGCTTCCACCATATAACCCTGACTTTCCACCATCGTACTACCATTTGTTTCTGTCAATGCAGAACTTCCTTAATGGAGTAAAGTTGGCTTCAAGAGAAACCTGTGAAAATTACTTGTCGCAGTTTTTCGCCAAGAAACCAGAAAAGTTTTATACTGATGTCTCTAGCGATAAAATGGCAATGGTCGATCAAAATGGTACATATTTGGCTCACTAAAGATTATAAATGTAAAAATAAAACGTTTCTCACCGTTGAGAAATACAGACTTTTACTAAATATTGTGTTCATTTAACCTAAGGTTCGAAACTTGGGTTACATAATTTCAAGAAACACGAGGTTAAAGACAAACTGATGGATTGAATTGAGCAGCTGCACGCTAAAAACCTGTAACTCCAAAACTATTTAAGATATCGATTTAAAATTTTAGTAATGCGTTTTATAATCTATAATAAAAATAGTTTTTTTTTATTTCGCACTAGGTGAGCCCCGTAATATCAGTTCCAAAAATATAGTAGGAACCATCGAAATAGTTTCTAGATTGTTTTATAATGGTGTTCAAATAATACAACAACATACTTGAAGGACACACTTTTGATACTAATCTTAATTTGAAAATAATTCATGCGAAAATAGAAAAATAATAAATTTGGAAAAACCGATTCGCAGAGATGTCGGATCAACAATGTAAGCACTTTTGAGAGTGCAAAACTTAATGGAATTTTTGAGTAACTTGGAAAAATTTTTCGTGTTTGAAATACAGAATTATTTTTGTAGAGGAATTACATCAATATGTTCGTAAACGCATGCATCGACTTCGAGAGCAATTCAATAACAATTAGCACGAATATGTGAAACCATTTTTAGAATTAACTATATAATCACTTTTGCAATTCATAYACTCCAAAGCGCTACGGGGGTGAGGGTGGCATGCACACATTTGCTAAATTGCAAAGACCGAATGACTGACTCACCCACCATTTGCATAGAGGAAGCCCTTCGCCAGCTTCAGTTCGCTGTCGATCTCCTTGAGCAGATCGCTTTCGGACCAACTACGACGATTCGGCTCCAGCAGGAAGCGCGTCTTCTTGCAGGTGCGCATGTGTGGCGCCGGCGGCCGGCTACTGCTGCTCGCTTTGTGGCTGTGGCTGTGCTGGTGATGGTGGTGATGCTGATGTTGTTCCTGCTGGTTGTGCTGTGAGTGCGGCTGCTGTTGGGGGTTTGCACCACCCATAGCAGTACCAGCAGCTCCACATGTGCTCGAAATGCTGCTCTGCTGCAGTTTGGCGTGTGTTTCGTAGCTGCTGCGAGTGCTTGACGTGGCAGTGGAAATGTGGCTGCCACGCGTAACGACTAAAGTGGTTGTTTGGTTGAAGAAACAAATATGATGGAGAAAAGTAATAAAAAGAGAGAGAGAGAGAGAAGAAGGTAAAGTTCATAAGAAACTTGACCATTGACAGTAACAAATGACAGCCACAAAACAAATATGCTTCAATTTGGATTAGGCAACGGAAGGATGTGCGGAATTTTGTGCCAATCATCGGTGTTGGGTTGGAAATTTTTATTTTGCCAGATTTCTTGAAAGTGTACAACAGCAGCTTGGGAGTCTTTATGGAGTGAATGGCAAGCATTATTGTGTCGCGTTTAATTTTGATGAGCAGTAAATTTTGATTTCGTGTTATTTGCCATTGTTAACGACCTAAATACTTAAAATCTGACTTTTCAATATTTTATTTTTCAATTATGCCTCGATTTGTAAGTATGTGTGTACGTTCAATTTTAAAAACGTGTTCATTTATTTTCCATGCCGCTTATAATTATTGAATTTGTGGTTCAACGCTCTGACCGCTAGTCTGTCCATCAAACCGATTAGCGTACCAGAAGTGCCACAAAAGTCGCTGATCTGTTGGCCGACCTAATTGAAACTTCCTTTTCATGTGCGCTTCCATCTTATCTTTTGTATTTATTCTTTATTTCAGTTTCTTCTTTCATTATCAACTTTTGCTCTTTGCGATTCTTAAGTTGATCTTCAATTTAAGTGGCTTGTTTGCTGGTTGAGCTGTTCGCGTGCTTTGAGCGTCGGGTCGCGCTTTAACGGTAATTGCATGCCAGCGCGGCTCGTCGCCCAAGTTGTAACGAATTGATTCTTATTTTTCATATTTTTTACCGCTGAATCGCGTTGCTTCTTTTCTTTTATTTGTAAGACTTTTTATTTGCTCTTTATCTGTCGAATGTTAAGTAGCGGATCGGCTAATTGTTCGCCTCACTTCTTAGCAATTTCCGTTTCTTGTTATTATATTTCTTGCTTGGACATATGTGACTTTTGGAATTTATGAGTTACTATATATACGCGTTAGGGTGGGTAACACTTTTTATGAAAATCTTAGCAAAATCCATAAATGCATAAATGTTTGTATTTCTATGTATGTACATATATGAGATATACATATATACATATATGTATGTGTATCGGATTTTTCCCCAAAAAAATGTTTTTTTTTTTTCAAATTTTGATGTCTTATGATAATATACATATGAATGTATAAATACATTTTATGTTAAAACTGCTTAAAAAATTAAATTTACGAAATGTTTTATATAATTCAGTACCAAAAGTTTTCATATGAATCCAAATTAATTAATTAGAAGAATACTATAGAAAAACAAATTTCAAAATTTGTTTAAATTATGTTAACTTTTGTTTCTAAAGTAAATAAAGTTCCTCCCTAACGCATTCATGAATTTTTGTATTGAACAGAAAACAATAATTAACTAACCTGTTCCAGCTATGTGTATACGTACAAAGGTAAGCGCACAAAATACTCAAAGTAGGCTCATTTCAATATGATAATTTTGCCGTAATAATGTGAAAATATTTTTTTTTTTTCACACTTCTCTAAGAGAAAAAAAAATCAAAAGCTTTTATTGCGCTTTTCTCCCAGATTTTTCATGACTGATTCTTAAGATAAGTGAGGTAAGGTATAAGGACCGATTGTGAGAATGTAGGAGAAATAGAAGAGAACATATAATACAGAAAAGTTACTAGACTCTTCGATGGAGTGGATCCGTAATTGATTTCAATTAGTATTACTGAAAGCCTTGCCAAGAAATTGTTAGTATCTTGTATTGCACGTATCAAAGGAGTTATGCAAATGCAGTCATCAAATTTGAATATCGGAATTATTCAACTTGCTATTCTGCGAGTATTACTTTTTTCACGATAGTGTTTTGTCATTAGTTACTTAGATGAAACTTTGAAACAGGAGAGAATAAACATATATTTTTGAAAATCAAGTCACACGAATACTAAACAGAGAACAATTTACAACCATTTTTAAATTTCCGAAAATATATATATTAGAAAACATTAATAAAATTGTCGAAACAACTTGAACGAAATTTTGTTTGAATAATAAAAACAATATCTTGCACAGAATAATCTTTCATATTTGATAATGTATCTAGAAGAAAGGGAAGCGATGGGTTGGACAAACACAACCAAACCAATTTCATAGAACAGCTTTAAGTTATACATATTATTACCAACCAAGATAAATTTGTTTTAGTTTTTTTTATCCAGTGGATTAATTTTTAACGTGATTCAATTCATTTATCACCAACTTTTGTCGTTTTATTGAACTTTTATTAAAATACTGTCATTTATGTAAACCTTGAAGAAATCGAACAAACAAATGGCACTTATTTAAATGTAGACCGGCATAATAAAAAGCGGTATAAAAATAACCGTAATACCACTTGAACGAACTTTCCAAACTCACGATATTAATGAATTGAAGCAAATAAATTTAACGATGCCTGTAATTTAGAAAAATTTGAGCATACTTAACATATGCATATAAGTATATATTGTACGCTAGGAAGAGCCATACCTATATGTACATATGTATACGAGTTTGTATGTATGTTGTATGGATTGTAAAAGTAAGAAAGAAAATTTTCAATAATTTCAAAAATAGTTTTTAAACTACAAAATTAAATAATTACTTAATAAATAATGGTAAAAAAAAATTTTTTCGAATTGTGTCGTTGCCAAAAGAGTGGCGGTAAAAAGGATTATAAATAAAGAAATGGGAATTGTCGCGCTAGATAAACATGCAAAAGCGGAGCAGCCAGCGAAGAGAAAATCAAAAATTAATATATAGTATATAGTAAGTATATAATACAGCATATAATACATACATACGTAAAATGTGGTAAACATGTCAATCAGAAGACAAAAAACAAACAGCATTATTATTTTTTCCTTTTTTTTGGTTGGTTAAAACAACAAATATGTATTTTTTATTCAACAAAGAACTGCATTAATTTTTATTACATACATATTATTAATTATTTAATTGAGAGCATACAGACATAATTTTCACCTACTAATTATACAAGCGGGTTGGTTTTGTAACAGTAGTTTTT